GATTGTTGCTCTTTTTATATTGATGTTAAATTTGAGCGCCATACCCCCGCGTTATTTGCAAGCGAATCGTAATTGGTTCGCCGCGTAGATTTATTGGACAATCGTCCTGATCTTTTAATACGATATTTACTCTAGATATTGAAGTCGTGTTGAGACCATAATAAACTGGATGTCTAGGTACCTCGACGATTTTATAGCCTGCTGGAACAGTTGGATAGAGTTCGTGTATGATCTGGCTCGGTCAGGGCGCATTTAGGGGGGTGCAATGGGTGCGATTGCACCTGGCGGCAGATTTAAGGGGGCGGTCGTGGACTGTGTTCTCTAGAAACAGGTTTCTTATCAATCTTTTGGGGGCATATTTTACAAAGATTTAATGTAGTCAGTAAAAAATTACAATCTGTGAATATTGATTTGGGTATTGTAGTTGAGTTGTATAATTCATTAATAGTTTATGTGACAGATTTTCGCTCTGATGATGCTTACGAACATTTTAAATCTTTAGCAATTGAAAAAACAGGTATTAAAGACTTTAAAAACAATTTAAAACGTCAAAAAAAGAGAAAAAAATTTTTTGATGAAGGACTGTCTGAAAATATGGACGTAATTTCGATAGAAATATTCAAAAGTGATACCTACTTTGTAATATTGGATAAATTAATTAATGAACTAGAAAAAAGGAAAGAATCGTATGACCACCTTCTCGAAAACTATATTTTTTAAACTGACTATTTTGTCAGTTGCTGATGTTTATATGTACGCTCCTAGACTACAAAAAGAATATCTCAATGATTTGGAACCATCTTTTATAAATGAATGCCTACATTTTAAAGGCCATTTAAAAAGTAATGGCAGTGATGCTCCAAATACCATACAAGATATGTGTGCATTTATAAGGCAAAAAAATGTTGTAAATATTTATCCTTATATTGATATTTCCTTGAGAATGTTGCTATGTACACCTACCCAGATAGCAAAAATATATTTTATTGAAATTTATAAAATATTATTTTTATAATGAAATGATTTTATAAACGTTTTTTTTCCCCATATTTTTGATTTTAATAATATTAAAAAAATATCTATAAAATGTCAGTTGGCCACTGGATTATCATTAATATGTTATTTTAAAAATAATATGAATAAAATAATATTTTTATACTATCATTATATTATTTTTCTTTTATTATCATTATGATATTATCATTATATGATTACTTTTTAAATATATTCATTAATAATATATAATATTATAATATAATATATTAAATAATAAAGTCTATAGGTAGATAGGCTTGTAGATTAATATAGGTTAATCAACCATAATATGACGCTCGTAAGGTTATAACTTATGTGTAAATACAAGCCCCTGACATCAAATTTTGGACCCTTGTGGCTTGTACTAAATGTTTTCACTGGCCCTGTACTCATAATAATAAAATACAACCCATTACAATGGATAAAATGTTAATGAAAATTAACTTGTCCCCATTTATTTTAAATTAAATTGTTAAATGAAAATGGAAAATTGGTGAGATACAATATAGATGTATTAATTATAGCTTAATTATATTACTTTTTAGCACAATCCTCCAATTATTCGCCCATTATAGTATAATATTAAAATACTATATTATACCTACTGACATAAAGTATATACATTTAATAAAATATACTTTTTTCCAACCATTAGATTAGCTTATACCAATCTAATTCATAAATACAAATATTATATAATATAATATAAAATTAATTATATTACTAAAAAAATTGAACAAATCATTTGATGAGCAAATTAAATATTTTATTCTTAATAATAATTGTACAATTAAAGTTGATTTATGCGGAATTTGGCGCCAGCAATAAAAATTTTTAAAGGGGTTTCAACATCAATTGTATTGCAATTTTTAAACTTCCCAATTTTATTTATTGACTCTGAAACATTCAAATATAATAAACAATAAACTTAAAATATAATTGGTTGATTTATATGTAGGTATATAATAGGATAAAAATTTAGAATAAACTTTGAGAAGAAATTTAATATAAAAGAATATGTTATCATCTTTCTTACCAAATATTAAGGAACAAGTGGCCAAGACTGAGAACACCTTTTTCTTTTTTTGTCCTTTGTAACTAAATTCTTTTAGTAATTCATCAGTGAAAAGAAATCTCAATATTGTTCTAACTGTACCTCCTATGTTGTTGCGAGCTAGCCGTGACAGTTCTTCTACCTGTAAGCATATTTTAATTTGTTTTGTTTAATTACTTTGAAATTTATTTTTTTTTTTTTTACTGGATACAATTAAATTATTTATAAGAAGGTACAACTGTATTGAACGAATTTAATAACACCACAAAAAATTATAAAGATAGTCCATTCAAAAACCCCAATAAGTTACATATTAAGTAAAAAGATTTAGAAACCTCTTTAAATACAACCCCTACTTACATGTTAGTTATTATAATAATTATAATAAATAACTCTTACCATTTTCTTTTTTAACTGCATATCAAGTAATTTTTCTTCAAATATTGTAAGATCCTCTTCTGTTTTCAATGGTAAATTACAAAGTATGTGTTGTAATACATGATCAATGCCTTGCAATGTTGTTTCTTGAATTTCAAATATGTTTGTTTTATTTGTCATACATTTTTCAATATTTTCTATTCTTTCGGTCATAGTCTTTATTTCATACCATGTGTTTAATGTGGTTCTATTTATCTTATTCAGTATGTCTGTTAACAAATTTTAATGATTTAAAAATATTATGCATTTCATTTTTGGATATTGGTTACAGTGGTGTAATTTCAGTTTTCAATAGGAGGGGGATGGCAAATAATTTGACCAGCCCAAATGGGTAACTTAAAAAACCACACATATTTTATAATTTAAATATTTTTTACTATAATCGTTGCAACCCATTTCACTAACTAAATAACAAAATCATTTGAAAATATAAGGTAGCAGATATTTTATAGAACAATTGTACATAGAAATTAAAACTATGTAAACTAATTTTATTTTATTTTTATTGCTTGCTTACTGGTGATTATGATTTTTAATTATTTTTATTGTTGTATATACAACAATTGAACAATATTATATATCCTTTAATTCTTTTTCTTCATAAACACACACACACCACTTCCATGCACGTCCCCGCATGCGTTTAAATATAAATATATTCCAACTATTAATATATTATTAATTACAAAATTTATCGTTGTGACAATAATTTCTTAGTTCTCAAAAAATAGGCATGTTTTTGCACTAATAAAATATAATGATCATTAAATGGAAACAACTGGACACCGGCCCATCGGGCTGCTTTTAAAAGTAGACAGGGGTAAATGCCCACCTTGCTGCCACCCTGCCCCCAAATGACGCCACTGAATTAATTACTAAACTGTAAATTGCATACTATACATACCTAATGCTGAGTTGTCAGCTGTTGTAGCATTGGTCATAGAGACTTTAAAGGGAGACGAGGATGTATAAATAACTTCTTCAATTGTATTAACTGCATCTGAAAAAAGGATAATTGACATAATTATTAGAAGTTTTTTATTTTTAAAAATCATTTTTATAAAAGCATATTATATAATATACATACTAAATACTTCGGCAGCTGGTATTAAGTCTGGGCTCAAAGATCGATCTTTGAAATCTAGTTTTCTCTTCACTGATTGGTTGCTCGGCGATAATATTTTATCATTAATCATTTTATTCCTAGAAAGTGGAGTATCTATAAAGAACAATAATTATATACTGATTAAAAATATAAAAAATAAATATATTAATACTGATTTTGTAAAAATAATAATCAAATGTTATTATTTGTTTTTTTTTTTTTTCAAATAATAATTTAGTTTGTTTTTACTACTGATTATTTGATAGATTAAGTAATATTAATTACTGATTAACATTTCAAATCACCATAACCCCCATATCTTATACGCCCATTACAATGGACCTTCGAATACAAAGTTAAATAAATCAAAAACTACTCTCACAAATTTTGATTTTGAAACATCAGAAATTTTTTTTTAACCCATATAAAATAAAACAATTTCACTGATGTGTTCTATTAAATGCGCCTATAAACAAACTAAATAATAGATGCAGTGTACTGATAATAATTTCCATACCAATTTGTGTGTTATCTGGATTATTGAACTCATCATCACAATTAGTATTCATCTCTACAATTTCCATGCATGACCCTAAAAATCAAACAGTAATTTTAATAAGTACCTACTACCTATTATAATAGGCAATTATATATTATTTTTATTTTTCACAATTACCTAGACTATCAATGGAATTGGGACTCCATGCTGGTAGCTTATTAATTGCTTTATTTTTTTGAATTTTCTCCATTTTATAATGTTCTCTTTTTGTTGCCTTCTTCTGCCTAGTTCTGATTTCATCATTTGTTTCATATGATGAAGATGAAACGTTGGAAGTATTTTCAGACCTTTTTGCTCGGATACTAGCCTTAAAATAATCATCTGAAAAATATAAATATTTTTTATTAACATAATAGGCAATAGCAATAATATGTATGCTTTAGTATTATATATTATAATATTACCTAAGTCCTTGCACATTTTTTTTTTAATTGATAAATACTGAAAATCATAGTTATTTGGTACTAGTCTTTGTTTAATAAACTGTTTTGCATTTTTTTTCGGCCAAGCAGATTTGTTATCTTTGACCCAAAATGATGGCACAACTTCAACAGTATTATCTTTAGAAAAATTCACAACTGACCACATGTTTAACTGAAATATAACAAATACTAAAATAACAAAACTGCCACATTTTAAATAATTTTAAATTTATTAATTCAATTGTTTAAATAGGTATTAATTAATTAATATAGGTACTATATAATCTAAATTAACATAAAACCAATATTAATGATAAATATAATTAACAATCTTTATATTTGGTAAATTATAACTAACTTCTGATAAAAAATATTAATAACTATTAACTATACATTACAGGAAGTATGAATTAATGGTAAGGCTATTAACGCATTACTGTCAGAATGAATTAAAATCATTTTTTTTTTAATCTCATTTATAGGATAGCAGTAGAGTTCATGACTTAATGTATTAACATTATAAATATCTAATTCTGAAGATTTGATCGGCTTATCAAATAAAATGTCTTTGTTTTGAAATTTTTTACAAATTAAAAATATTGCATCATCTTTATCTTTAACTATATTGAAGACTTTTATTATGTCACCATTACATGTTAAAAGACAACTATCAGCTTCTGTATTTAATTTGATACTAAATGTTTTCATTTTTAAGGTAGTATACTGGAATCCTTGTATATTTTGAATCAATGGTCCATGTTTATGAAATCCAGAAAAAGTAAACACGGGTATTTCTTTTTGAGAATTTAATTTCAATGAACTTATTTCATTACTTCTTTTAACAACTTGTATAAGTGGCTTGTCTGGCTTCCGTATCATGTTCTTTAGAGTACTCATGTAGTTCTCGAATGGAAATGTAGAACAATTGTCCAATGGACCGAATTTAATATAGTCATCACAGATATGGGTTAATCCATGAACGTTGTGCGATATTAGATGCCGACCATACAACATTTCAAAGGTTTTAACAAAATTGTCCAACAGCTTCCTAGCAATATTAATATGTTGTGCATAGTCCGGGCTCAATAATATTGTCATTGCTAAACTTAAATTAAAAAAGTGTTTCCAGTGTTCCTTTAATACAACAGACTTGATAGCAGAAGAACCCAAATACAATAAAAATGTACGAAATTCAGTAGCTTTCCAGTTTTTTATATGAGCCAAACTTCTTGGTTTTCTATTGATTTCGCAAGGTATACCGACTCTTAGACCTATCAATATTCTAGATATTTGTTCTATTTTCCAAGATGGATAACGTATAGGCACTGGGCCTTTAATCCACAAATACATAACTTTTCTAACCACACCAAGGCACACTAAATGTTGATAATCCAATGAAAAATCAGCAACAGTGTCAAAATATGGTACTGTAGTTAATATAGAAGTATTTTCAGTATGATATTCCTCATCAAACTGAGAAATATAATTCTGATGAGTTCTCTTGGATGGTTGGTTATCTGGCGTTGTATATGGAAAACACATTCTATTCAATAAGTGTTCTCCTTCATGCTCACATCTTGAACATGAAGAGAATCCAGCATGTCCTTTAGTTTTTAATATGAATGATTTAGCCGGAGCATCACAGCATAACACATCCAATATAACTTTCAAGTTTTTTCCATTAATTTCAATGCCATTATTGTCTAACAAATTTATTTCTTCTACAAAATACTTCAGGAATGTATTGCTGTCCAAGGGTTTTCTATTTCCACAGTAAATCCCTACTGGAAACACGTTACTTCTGTTTGGCTGTATATATGCAAGTATTGGCCAAAATTCTTCAGCAGTTGATTTAAATAGAGGCAAACCATCTATTCCTGCTACAATATGAATAGCATTATTTTTGAAATTTAATGGAATATTTTCTTTGATAGCATTAGCTAGGCCAAAATGATAATAGTTTCCAGGTTCTACGGAGTGAATATTTAAGGTGTTGATTGGTTTAGTCTGTAAGATTGTTCTTGAATCTTTAGGCAAATATTCAAAACAAGAGTGTTGCCTCAAAATAACTAATAAGCCATTAAGAGCATTTTGAGATATTTTAAAGTTAACGGCCCATTCAGCAACTAATGACATAAAAATTGATGTTTTGCTATACTTATATGAAGTAGAACGATCATCTTCATCTGATGAAAACTCAATAACACTAACATCTGATAGTGCATCACCCAATTCAGTCACTAAATTGAGATCAACTGATTTATTCGGGGATTTATTAATACTTCTCTGTGAAGGCACAGCAAAAACATTGTCCACTGATGTAACATTAGTAATCAAATTTGCTTCTGGAATAATGATAATTCCTGTTGAATGAGCTGTAACATTTCTGTCAATTGTAGGAGCTGATATAGGTAAAGATATGTTTTTAAGTTCTTCATTGACTCTTCTTCTCTTAGAACGCATACTTAGGTTCGACTTATTTTGATAGGACATTATAGCTATTTATACAATAGTAGCCACAGGTATAGTAGCTATAGGTACCTACAAAGTACAAAGTCAGGCACATACAGTATATTAAGATACAAATCCTACCTAGGTAAAATTCTTGTTCAATACTTATGCTATCTACATGACATTTAGTGTTAATAAGTATGACTAAATATAAATATGACTATATATAATATTACCTTCTAGTATTCAGTACTACAACATTATCCAAAGATGTAATATAAGTATATAGTATGTGTCAATTCAATATTAAAACAAGAATAATTGTACCAGAGTACCTATACAGAAAAATAAATTAAATCTTAATAAAATAACCTAACATTATTGTATGATTTGAAAAAATAATTATCAGGCATATGTTAAAATAAGTAAATATCAGCTGACAGATGGTCCATTTTGTGTTATACATTACTACATATAGTAGCCTACCTAGATTAGACTTATAACAGATTCGACTATACGAGGTGTTCAAAAAATTTCTTAGAACGCTGGTTGGTCCTGTCTCCCCTAGTCAGCTGTGTCATATTACTTACCTATAAATGTACTCAGAGGCGGATCTAAGATTTTTTACGCCCGGGGAAAATATTAAAATGACGCCCAAATGCCCAATCATAGACAAAGACCGAAAATATATCATTCCCTTCAATTGTTTTCTAATAAATGGAACTAAAATTACTAACATACTTTACATACTACATACTTATTGACTTTTAAACACATAATAATGTTAACTAACAAAGTTAAAAATATCAAGCTAGTTCATACTCATAGAATCTTATTACTTATGTTACAATAATTAAACTAAATAAGAGTTATTCTGATTTTTACACTACTACTTAAGTATACTAAAAGAGTGTCTCTATCTTTTCTAACTATTAAAATTATTAATAATAAACTTGTTTAATTCAATATGAAAGAACTTTTTTATTAAAACATTTAAAATATAAAATAGTTTATTCTGATAAAGGTACACAAATTTAGATTTTGGGCCAATAAAAAATGTAATTAATTTAAACAATTTATAATAAAAATAGAAAAAGAAAATTTTTTTTTAAACATAAACAATTAATGTATAACCATCTTGGTGAATATTATAATATAATATGTATAATAACATTATAAAATATTAACATAGTTTTTAATAAACAGATATAATATTATATCGTGCGTTGATTGATAATCTTATAAAAGTTATTGTGTAGGTATCAGACATTTTAACAAAAACACAGCATCAATAAATGCCTAGTTTGACACTTTCACTCAGAATCTTAATAATAATAGTAGGTACAGGGTTGCTACTAATATTTTTCTTAAAAAAAGTGAAAAAAAGTGAGGAATCAATGAAATAAGTGCGAAAAAGTGAGCACTTAAATACTCAAATAAAGTGAGAATAGTGAGAAATAGTTAGTGCGTAGCAACCCTGTAGCCTGTAGGTATATTGTATATCCTTATTAGTTTATTACTTATACTTATACGAATGTATTCATAATCTTACCTTTAACTAAAACGATGTCTATATCGTCTATACCGTCCGCTACTCCGTGAGCTAAGCCGCGCTTTCAAATGGCAAATGGCAGAATTTATCACTGTCACTGTGGTCTGTAGTAATTCATATTGTACTATTTTTGTCCGCGTCGTCGCCGACCGCCGCCCGGCCGCCGTGCGTCGACAATAACGTTCATATTAATTATTATATTTATATTTATTATTGATAATAATATACGTGTGTATCGTGTATGTACTATGTCGTGTGGGTGTGTGAGTGCGTGAGTGTGTGACAGGCAGTGCGGCGTACGGCGGGGGCATACAGTCGTTATATGGTTTTCCCCGAAAATTAACTGATCAACAACAACAGATTCCTATATTTATATTAGAAATCATAATAATATACTGAACAATATAATAATAATATATTGTATATTAATCTGTCATAGGATTGTATTGGAATATAATAATATTATAATTTGTACGACTTCATGGCTAATACAATCTACAATTAATATAATATATAGCCAGTGCCCAGTAGGTACCTACTTAATAATATATTGACACATTTGAATAAAATAAATGTAGTACAAATCGCTCTTAGTCTTAACCTAGTTAATATTGTATATTATTTTAGTCTCACACACACACCTTTGATACACTTTGACAAAATAATGTTTTAAGTTACACTTGTAGACCGTAGTCTCTAGTCGGGTTATATAATGCACTATGCAGCAATGCATCCAGTATAATAAATATATACAATATTATAATGCACTAGTGTGTCTGAAATTCTGAACACTATTCTGATGCCACTGGCCAGATACTGACGTAGGTACTGTTGTACTACTGTAGCTAAGTCGGAGCCGTACATATGCCTCTATCTATATTCTATGCATAAAAGGCCGGCTACGATTTCCTAGGCGATTAAGTCGCACGCTGTTGTACCGATTTAAATAACATAATGATAATAATATAATAAAATTAAGAATATTATTTCATTATTTCATTTATGATGTCTTATTATTAATATATTCAAAATATAATTTAAACAATTCATATTTATTATCATAATAATAATATATCCAGATTATTATTTCATTATTTCATTAATGATATCATATTATTAGTATTTTCATAATATTATTTTACCAAATAATTACTTGATTTTATTTTAATATTTTTTCTAAAATATTATTTTTTTAACGAAGATATGATATTAATAAAATATTATCATTACGAAAATGCTATCTGGGACATAATATATACTATGATAATATTATTTTGTAAACATTGCCTGCTTTGTAAATGGGGGGTCGACTTCGATGACAAAAAGGAGACGGCTATCTAGTTGTTGTATATATCTATGGCGCTGACATCCCAACCGGCAACCGATCTTTTTTATTCTATCTCATAAGTCAAGGTTGTAAACCTATATCAACTGATAACGGTAGTTTCAGCCAAAGAGTCAAGTGACCTTTGCAATTCAAGATCCTTTACTACGCATTCGGCATTGTTAACATAACTATTCTACCTTCACCCTTTTTCTTCCCCCTTCTCTCACAACTGTTCAGGTTCAACCACTCTCATCCCACACCTCCATATGATCGGTATTCTGTCTATCCATCTTTTCTTCAGACTCTAACTTCTATAGCCAATCTCACTATATTTTATCATACAGTCACGGAGCCACCTAAACCTGTTCTCTCTTGTTTTCACTACAATATATGCAACAACACAACACTACACAACCTTTAATTAATAAATTTCCTATTCTATCTTCCTTTGTACCTCAACACCTAACTTAATATTCTCATATCTGCTACACACACTTCGCTAACCTAACCTAAAATTACATTTCCTTTTCGCATTTCCCTTTCATAAGCTAAACATTCTGAGATCCGGTTGACCTCTTTCCTTATCTTCGCCACATCATACACTTGATAATTCCTATTCACTCAGTCTCTAGTTACCTACAAGTCATCGTACTTGATTATCGGTGAAAATATTTAAATATCATTGAACGAATTATCTACTCAAAAGAAGTACCTACATATCAATAATAGCTTATATAAATAGCTCAATAATTTCTTCTATTTTTTTTTTTTTTTTGTTTGGTGTTATCTTTTTAAGAATCTAGGCATTTTCATTTGAATTCTTTAATGTGTAGTAATATTGTTTAATTTCTTCTAATTTTTTTTTTGTTTTCTCAAACGGATTTGCCTTCGGGCGCCAACATTCCCCTTCAATTTTTTTTTTTAGTTATTTAACTCTAGTTAAATATTTTGTTTAGACTGCATTGGCCCTATGAATTATCTTTCTTTAATAATCTTATCATTTTGAATAGTTTTTCTGTTAAGTTTCTGGACATTTTAGTTTGAGCTCTTTCATGTGTGGTCCTATTGTTTAATTTCTAATTTTTTTTTGTTTTGTTTTCTAAAACGCATTTGCCTGCGGGCGCCAACATCCCCCTTCAAGTTTTTTTTTTAGTTATTTAACTCTACTTAATTTTTTTGTTAAGATGTGAACATTGATAACCTGCACTAATTATTTTAAATAGTGTTATCTATTTAAGAATCTGGATATTTTAGTTTGAACACTTTAATGTTTGGTATATTGTTTAATTTCTTCTAATTTTTTTTTTGTTTTCTAAAACGCATTTGCCTTCGGGCGCCAACACCCCCCTTTAATTTTTTTTTTTTTAGTTATTTAACTCTAGTTAAATTTTTTGTTAAGATGTGAACATTGATACCCTGCACTAATTATTTTAAATAGTGTTATCAATTTAAGAATCTGGCCATTTTAGTTTGAATTCTTTCATGTGTGGTCCTATTGTTTAATTTGTTCTAATTTTTTTTTTTTGTTCTCTAAAACGCATTTGCCTTTGGGCGCCAACACCCCCTTCAATTTTTTTTTTTTAAGTTATTTAACTCTAGTTAAATATTTTGTTTAGACCTGAACGTTGATAACCTGCATTGGCCCTATGAATTATCTTTCTTTAATAATCTTATCATTTTGAATAGTTTTTCTGTTAAGTTTCTGGACATTTTAGTTTGAGCTCTTTCATGTGTGGTCCTATTGTTTAATTTCTAATTTTTTTTGGTTTGTTTTCTAAAACGCATTTGCCTTCAGGCGCCAACACCCCCCTTCAATTTTTTTTTTTAGTTATTTAACTCTACTTAAATTTTGTGTTTGGACTTGAACGTTGATAACCGGACTCTTTAATGTGTGGTCCTATTGTTTAATTTCTTCTAATTTTTTTTTTTGTTTTCTAAAACGCATTTGCCTTCGGGCGCCAACACCCCCCTTCAATTTTTTTTTTTTAGTTATTTAACTCTAGTTAAATTTTTTGTTAAGATGTGAACATTGATAACCTGCACTAATTATTTTAAATAGTGTTATCTATTTAAGAATCTGGATATTTTAGTTCGAACTCTTTAATGTGTGGTCCTATTGTTTAATTTCTTCTAATTTTTTTTTTTTTGTTTTCTAAAACGCATTTGCCTTCGGGCGCCAACACCCCCCTTCAATTTTTTTTTAGTTATTTAACTCTAGTTAAATATTTTGTTTAGCCTTGAACGTTGATAACCTGACTCTTTAATGTGTGGTCCTATTGTTTAATTTCTTCTAATTTTTTTTTTTTGTTTTCTAAAACGCATTTGCCTTCGGGCGCCAACACCCCCCTTCAATTTTTTTTTTTTAGTTATTTAACTCTAGTTAAATTTTTTGTTAAGATGTGAACATTGATAACCTGCACTAATTATTTTAAATAGTGTTATCTATTTAAGAATCTGGATATTTTAGTTCGAACTCTTTAATGTGTGGTCCTATTGTTTAATTTCTTCTAATTTTTTTTTTTTTGTTTTCTAAAACGCATTTGCCTTCGGGCGCCAACACCCCCCTTCAATTTTTTTTTAGTTATTTAACTCTAGTTAAATATTTTGTTTAGCCTTGAACGTTGATAACCTGACTCTTTAATGTGTGGTCCTATTGTTTAATTTCTTCTAATTTTTTTTTTTTGTTTTCTAAAACGCATTTGCCTTCGGGCGCCAACACCCCCCTTCAATTTTTTTTTTTTAGTTATTTAACTCTAGTTAAATTTTTTGTTAAGATGTGAACATTGATAACCTGCACTAATTATTTTAAATAGTGTTATCTATTTAAGAATCTGGATATTTTAGTTCGAACTCTTTAATGTGTGGTCCTATTGTTTAATTTCTTCTAATTTTTTTTTTTTTGTTTTCTAAAACGCATTTGCCTTCGGGCGCCAACACCCCCCTTCAATTTTTTTTTTAGTTATTTAACTCTAGTTAAATATTTTGTTTAGCCTTGAACGTTGATAACCTGACTCTTTAATGTGTGGTCCTATTGTTAAATTTCTTCTATTTTTTTTTTGTTTTGTGTTATCTGTATAAGATTTCTACATTTTATAATTTGACTCTTTAATGTGTGGTAATATTGTTAAATTTCTTCAATTTTTTTTTTTGTTTTGTGTTATCTGTTTAAGAATCTGGGCATTTTCATTTGAATTCTTTAATGTGTGGTCCTATTTTAATTTCTTCTAATTTTTTTTTTTTGTTTTCTCAATCGGATTTGCCTTCGGGCGCCAACACCCCCCTTCAATTTTTTTTTTTTAGTTATTTAACTCTAGTTAAATTTTTTGTTAAGATGTGAACATTGATAACCTGCACTAATTATTTTAAATAGTGTTATCTATTTAAGAATCTGGATATTTTAGTTCGAACTCTTTAATGTGTGGTCCTATTGTTTAATTTCTTCTAATTTTTTTTTTTTTGTTTTCTAAAACGCATTTGCCTTCGGGCGCCAACACCCCCCTTCAATTTTTTTTTAGTTATTTAACTCTAGTTAAATATTTTGTTTAGCCTTGAACGTTGATAACCTGACTCTTTAATGTGTGGTCCTATTGTTTAATTTCTTCTAATTTTTTTTTTTTGTTTTCTAAAACGCATTTGCCTTCGGGCGCCAACACCCCCCTTCAATTTTTTTTTTTTAGTTATTTAACTCTAGTTAAATTTTTTGTTAAGATGTGAACATTGATAACCTGCACTAATTATTTTAAATAGTGTTATCTATTTAAGAATCTGGATATTTTAGTTCGAACTCTTTAATGTGTGGTCCTATTGTTTAATTTCTTCTAATTTTTTTTTTTTGTTTTCTAAAACGCATTTGCCTTCGGGCGCCAACACCCCCCTTCAATTTTTTTTTTAGTTATTTAACTCTAGTTAAATATTTTGTTTAGCCTTGAACGTTGATAACCTGACTCTTTAATGTGTGGTCCTATTGTTTAATTTCTTCTAATTTTTTTTTTTTGTTTTCTAAAACGCATTTGCCTTCGGGCGCCAACACCCCCCTTCAATTTTTTTTTTTTAGTTATTTAACTCTAGTTAAATTTTTTGTTAAGATGTGAACATTGATAACCTGCACTAATTATTTTAAATAGTGTTATCTATTTAAGAATCTGGATATTTTAGTTCGAACTCTTTAATGTGTGGTCCTATTGTTTAATTTCTTCTAATTTTTTTTTTTTTGTTTTCTAAAACGCATTTGCCTTCGGGCGCCAACACCCCCCTTCAATTTTTTTTTTTAGTTATTTAACTCTAGTTAAATATTTTGTTTAGCCTTGAACGTTGATAACCTGACTCTTTAATGTGTGGTCCTATTGTTAAATTTCTTCTATTTTTTTTTTGTTTTGTGTTATCTGTATAAGATTTCTACATTTTATAATTTGACTCTTTAATGTGTGGTAATATTGTTAAATTTCTTCAATTTTTTTTTTTTGTTTTGTGTTATCTGTTTAAGAATCTGGGCATTTTCATTTGAATTCTTTAATGTGTGGTCCTATTTTAATTTCTTCTAATTTTTTTTTTTTGTTTTCTCAATCGGATTTGCCTTCGGGCGCCAACACCCCCCTTCAATTTTTTTTTTTAGTTATTTAACTCTAGTTAAATATTTTGTTTAGACTTGAACGTTGATAACCTGACTCTTTAATGTTTGGTCCTATTGTTAAATTTCTTCTATTTTTTTTTGTTTTGTGTTATCTGTATAAGATTCTGGACATTTTATAATTTGGCTCTTTAATTTGTGGTCCTATTGTTAAATTTCTTCATTTTTTTTTTTTTTGTTTTTGTTATCTGATTGATAGATTCAAAATGGATCACAACAAAATGTTATCTCATATGATGGTCTATTAGTATTTGAATTTAAGGCGGATTTAGGAAAGTTTGTATGAGATTTAGTAGTAGATATTATGAAATGTTCAAGACGAGGTGGTCTGTAATTAAGTTTTTTATAAACGGGACAGCATTTGTAATTAGCTGGATGACCACCATGGCATAAAGCACACCTGGCTGGAGATTCTGGTGACATAGTGCATTCGTCAAACCTGAATCATAATTGTTATATTATATAAAAATTTTAATATGTAGCCATGTAGGTATAAATATAGGTAATCATTTCAAATTAATCGCACTGTGCGTCTTTTAAAAGTTAGTCGTATTCATGATTTGAAAATATAAATGTGAATGGGTCAATATGAAATGTGTACGAGATTCCTTATTACAGTAAAACGAATAATGATAATTTAAAAGGTTTTCCTAAGTTAATAACTGGAGTTATATTTGATGGCGATGAGTGGTTAATTTTAAGGAAAAATATAATAAAATAGAATAGATTGATTAAACGCAAAAAAACATATTTATTTACTGACACGCGCCGAAACTAGGCGAGCGGTGTCGATCGATCAACTGAAAATCTATATAATACAAAATATTATGCCGGTCTGCGTTGTCGCAGCGATCGGCCCGGATCGACCGGTCGATGTATGCCGACAACGTAGACAAAAATATAACAATCGGCATATCGGCACAGAGCACACACAGACACAATATAATATAACAGTAATAATAATACAATTTATAATAGGTAGTAATAATAATAATAATAAATCACCACAGTTCGGCCAATCCTGACATTTGTTCGACTCGAACAAGGTTGTAGTAATAATTGAACAATATTTTTTTTTTAAATACAAATAATTGAATACAAATAAAATTAAATGGAAAGAAAACGTTTAATCTCAGCGACTAGCCTATGTAAATAAAAATTAATTAGTAATAAAAAAACGGATTTATCTTTTCTCTTTTTTTTTTTTGTAATACGTATATTAGAACTTGATCCACATTTTCATTCTGTCCGGACCAACGATAGTCTCGAATGGACGTTGTGTTACCTGAAATCCATCTATATCACCGATAACATATCTGTCGTGGTTCAAAACCTTACGTACTACATACGGACCACGGAACTTAGGTATTAATTTCTTGTTATGACCTACCGTCACATCTACGTTAGTAATCATTACATAATCATTCTCTTTGTAAATTGTCGGAGTTTTCCGTTTTGAGTTATATTGAGCTGCGTTACCCTCCTGTGCTTTCTCTATGCATTCGGCGGCTATTGTTCTCACTTCCTCTAGGTCTACACAACTCGTATTTATTTCATTATCTAATATTAGCCTTATCTCGTCGTTCACTATGCCAACCTGGTTTACTCCAAATAACAGAACACTCGGACTCTGACCAGTTGACCTATGTATGGTATTATTAATTGCAAACTCAACTACATTTAATACTCTGTCCCATTTATTCGTAGACTCAGATAATTTTGCTAACATGGGTACGACAGATTTATTGACGATTTCCACCTGGCCGTTAGCCCTAGGTGTTCCTGCGGCGACTAACACTAAATTTACAGATTCGTCTTCCAAAAATTGTTTAAATGCTGCGGACGTAAAAGACGTGCCACGGTCACTAATTATTTTCCGTGGCTTCGAATATGTTTGAAAATAATTACGCAAATGTTTTATTACCTCTTCCGTTTTTGTACTACGACATGGATATAATTTAACGAATTTTGTGAATGCGTCAATTACGACAAAAATGAACTTGTTTCGGTTTCCCGTTTTCTCCAGGGGACCCAGGTGATCTACGTGTATTTTTAAAAACGGTTTATCCCCCTTCGGAATATAATTAAGAAAACCTTCTTTTTTACCACTAGGAACTGTGAATTCGATACATTTTAAACAATTATTGACATAATCGCGTACCTTTGTTTTCATGTCTGGGAACCAGTATACGCGCGAAATGTTTTCGATAACTTTCAATAAGCCAACATGTGCCATATCGTCGTGGCACGTTCGTATGACGTTTGACTCCATAGACTTAGGTACATAAAATTTTACATTTTTATTTTCTTTTCTGTATACCAGTCCATTGCGTAACTCAAATAATTTACTATCTTTCGTTAATAACTCGTCCCTAATTTTAATAATGTCATCGTCTGTATTTTGCCTAAGGGCGAGCACCTGTTCGAATGAGTTAGACTCTAAAACTAAAATGGCATGGCATCTACTGAATGCGTCTACGTGCTGCATATTTTTGTTCGGGCGGTGAAATATGTTAAAATCGTAGTTTTGCAAAAATAACGCCCACCTGGAAATTCGTGGATTTATTTCTTTCTTACTCAAAGTGAGACGAAAACTATCACAATCAGTCATGACCTTGAACGTTATGCCCGCTAAATAAACATGGAAGCGTTTAATAGCATATACTACGGCGAGACATTCTAATTCGAAACTATGAAATTTGGACTCGCTCGGGGACGTGCGTTGACTAAAATAGAATACTGGTTTTAATATGTTATCTTTTTGTTTTTGCAATAATATTGCACCAAACCCTGACGAGCTTGCGTCACAATGTAACTCCGTATCTGCGTCGGGTGAATAAATAGCCAAAACTGGTGACTCGGTCAGCGTTGTACACAAAAATTTAAAAACGCTTTGTTCCCTATCTCCGAACATAAAATGTGTATTTTTTTTGACGAGATCGTAAAGTGGTTTAGCAATAGTCGAGAAATTAGGAATAAAACGGCGAAAATAGCTGGCTAACCCTAAAAATTGTCTTACTTGTTTTTGGTTTTTTGGAATCGGATAGGTGAGCATTGCCTCAATGTGTCTTGAACTGGGACGTACGCAGTGTTCATTAATTAAATACCCGAGGTACTCGACCTCTTTAAAACCAAAAAGACATTTATCTAATCGAAATTGTAAGTTGTGTTTTGCCGCCAAGCGGAAAACTTCTTTTAATATTGCGAAGTGTTCAGTATAATTTTGGGTTGCAATCATCATATCATCTAAATATACTAAAAGATCGCCCCGGCGGATTAACTCGTGAAAAACAAACTGAATAAATCGACCGAATACTCTGGGCGAGTTGGTTAACCCAAACGGCATTTTTACATATTCATATTGTCCTAACGGTGTTACGAACGACGTATACGGGATAGATTTTTCACACATACGGACATGATGGAATCCATTCCTTAAATCTAATAATGTGAATATTCTCTTATCACGTAATCGATCCAATTGATCGTCTATCAGAGGTGTCGGAAAATTATCTCTCACTGTTATTTTATTAAGCTCTCTATAGTCTATACACAACCTATAGTCTCCCGATTTCTTTTTCACCAATACGACCGGGCTGCTATATGCACTGTTACTCGGTCTTATCACTCCTTCAGATAACAGCTCGTCTAAAATAACACGTAATTTATTTTGTTCGCTGTATGACAGGCGTCTAGGGCGAAAGGAAATGGGTTGTTCATGCTTAAGAATAATTTTCATATCAAAATCTACATTACCGTCGTGCGATTCTACGTTTTCTTTTAACATATTATGGTATTCATTGTTATACACATCAATAAATTTATTTCTTATCTCCGTGTCCAAATCCGGATTTATATTCAATAAACAATTATTACGGTCTTTTTCGTCTTGACCATAATTAATACATAATATTTCGTCGAAATTATTATCGACTTCTTTCATAATGACATCGCTATTAAGATTAATGATATTAACGTTATCGTTCACAAATTCAATTTTAAATCCGGGTTTAGACAGGAGATCCCTACCTAGAATAGCATCAGACGACATGGTGTTATACGGTACAATATAAAATTTAAAATCTATGACATTATTATTGATTGTTACATTAGTTTCAAAAATCCCCAATATATTTAACTTAGCCCCGTTAATTCCATAAAAATTACTATCACCTGCCGGTTTAATTACAGCATAATTATTTGGAATAAACTCACATTTTAGAAGGCTGATGGGACTACCTGTGTCGATCACCGCGTTGAACTTGACATCGCAACTTTCATGTTCGGCAACAGGGACGTCTATGTGGCATTGTACCTCGTACGGCTTCGGATAGTCAACGGGTGGTGCATCATCGTCTGCCACGTCGATGTTCATTAGCCCTGGCTGCTTCCCTGTCGATGCGTCGGAACTCTGTTTCGTACGTCCTGGACAACTTCCTATTTGATGTGACGTCGAACCACATTCATAGCAGGCACCCTTTTCCCTCTTCGGTTTTGGACATTGAGGTGAAATATGTGTTCTCGAGCCACAATTATAACACGATCTGACTGTTGGTTTTCCTTCGTAATCTGTCATGGTTTTCGTACTTTCCTTTTTCGTCGGTAAGGACTGTGGTGCATCATTCTGCTGTCGTGGTGTAGGCTTTTGTACACCGTTGTCTTTCATGTTTACTGACGGCTGGCGAAAACGTGTCGCACGTGATGTATCTAAACGTTCATACTCGACCATGTCGCTTAATAAGTCATCTTCGTCTCGATGGTCACGGCCCAATAAATACATACTTAGATCCTTCGAATATAGACCTTCCAAAACTTGTATTTTTGATTCGTAAAACGATAGACCAACTCGTTTGCACAGGTAAACTTTCTCATGAAAATATTCGCGTACATTCTCGTTTCGTAATTGGACGCGACGACTCATCTCTTTCCAACAATCACCTGTCAACACTACGCCTACGAACGTTTTGCGAAATTGTCTTTCAAAATCGGCCCAATCTTCAATATCCCTCGATACGAACCAATGACGGGCGGCACCGTCCAGATTTGCCCGCACAGACTGCAATTTGAAGTTGTCTGGCCAGCGATGTAGGTTAGCGACACCGTTCACTGTTCGCAACCAATCTTGAGCTTGCGCGCCCGTTGTTAGCCCATTAAAAATTGGAATAGACTTGTTCAAATCTGGAGCGATCGTCATGTCGTTTGACGATTTCCTATCTTGTTGTGACTTCAACAGCTCCATTAACATGGCGTTTTGTGACAACAAAGTACAAAGTAGTGTATTCGCATTCACATTACTTGTATCCACATTCATTTCATTCGGTTCGTTCGGTATATTATTGGCGTGCACTTCCGGTGTATCATTCGTTTCATTCTCCTGTCCTTCATTGTTAACATTTTCTTCTTCATTCATGTTACTACGGGATCGTGTAACAACTCCGGTGTTCGCATTCGGTGGTTTTGACATACTGGTTAACATTCAAATTAAATACACATTCGGAAAAAAAAAATTACGCAATAACAATGACATTCATGTTTGGTTCAGTTGAATCTGAAAACGATCCCACTTCTGAAACTGATGGCGATGAGTGGTTAATTTTAAGGAAAAATATAATAAAATAGAATAGATTGATTAAACGCAAAAAAACATATTTATTTACTGACACGCGCCGAAACTAGGCGAGCGGTGTCGATCGATCAACTGAAAATCTATATAATACAAAATATTATGCCGGTCTGCGTTGTCGCAGCGATCGGCCCGGATCGACCGGTCGATGTATGCCGACAACGTAGACAAAAATATAACAATCGGCATATCGGCACAGAGCACACACAGACACAATATAATATAACAGTAATAATAATACAATTTATAATAGGTAGTAATAATAATAATAATAAATCACCACATATTAAAACTATATACAAAAGAAATTATTATTATAACCAGTAACGGGGATTGATATACCTCATTTCCCTTTTGTACAAAGCATTATTTTACTCCAACAAATTATTTTATACTTAATATTTAAGTTACAAACTATAGAGCGATTCACCAAGCATGCTCACCATATTTTTCATTTAATAACTTATTTATACAAATTCTGATTTTTGGAATTTTTGAATATTAGATTAAAGACCATAATATATTCAAATTGTTGAGATTTTTTGTATAGTGCTCGATCATTATCTTACGGTTGTAAGTTGATATACACTTCTCCTTCAGATACGAATGAAAACCCCGTCCATTAATTTTATTGTAAATTATTTAGTTAGTTGTGTACACGGAACGGTAAACGCACTACGCACTCACTCGGATTTCCAGGCCACTAACCGAACTTATGAAATAGGAATTTCCAGTTCCATCGGTTAGTTACCAGGGAAATATGTCGACCTGCCTCGGCGCTCGTTTAAGGGTCGGTGGTTTACATGTGTTATGTGTAATAAATGGGTAAAATGAAGTTATATTTTATAATAATATTATAAAATTGTTTATTTCGTATAATTGTATCGATGTTATCGAGTGTGCCGCCCGAAATATCTCGAGACGCAACTCAACATACGAACTCTTATCACACCGTTATAGTACTATCACAGAATTATTCTATTATTATTGTAATAATATTATTATCTGCAGACTGCTGCAGATTCGATAGATAATGGTCTGTGTCTAGTAATAAATTATTAATTATTATTTATATTTTATTATAGTATAGAACTAGAAATATAGAATTGTCATTCGGCCACATTCGGTTACCCACCGACGAGACTACGAGACACCTATTCAAAAATGGGCTCGGAACAGAGTTCGCAATCAAACGCCTCCGAATCGGGCTCGAAAAATCCAAAACTGAAGAGGGGCAAATCGGTGCCCGAGAGTTCTTGGCCTCGAAATTCGCAGGATGGTCAGCATAGCAGGGCGGCCAGCACAAACACATCACCCGGCCACAGCGTGTGCAGCGACGTTGACTTGCCGTACATATCGTACATGGTCAACAGGCCGATTGGAGGTGCCATTATCTAGCCATTGTAAACTGTGTACCTATTTCGATGAACGACACTAAACCCATTTCTAGATTCGCCGAAGAAACCCAGCATAATGAGCCGAGGCAGATCAATGCAGGTGGAACCTCAGCGATCCGTGAAGAAGACCCCAAAGCATACGCCTAAGCACAACATTGTGGTGGTCAGGGCGGCTGTACAAGAAAACCCGGACATGGACGAAGACCTGTATCGAATGAAGGTGAATTATTTTGTCACTGCAGCTGTCTAAGACATTTGAGTGTATGTATGTTGTTGTTATAAAGCACATCTTCCTAGATTATTCCGCTGACCAAAACCATTATAGAAATTAGAAAGTACAGCTAAAAGTATGAATAAATGGACCTAGTTTGTCATTTGACAAATTTGGCTTAGATTTACTATTTCAGAATAAAAAAAATACTAGTAACTTAATGAACAGACATTTAATACATTTATATACTGTAGGATACATACAAGTGAACTTAAACTTAGTATAATATACTTAGAGTAGGTACATAAATATAAAATAAAAAAATATTTTTATTTCAATTTTATTTACCTAGGTATAGTTTTTAATCATTATATTTCAAATCATTAATACAAATTAAACCAAAATGTACAACATATTAAAGAATAATTGAAGGATTATTAAACATTATACCATTTAAACAAAAATTATAGATAATTGGGTACTTATTGTATAGGTAATTTTGTTAATTTAGTTAAAGTGGTGCACACCTCATTGTATAATTTAAGTGTTAATTTCTTGTTTGTTTTAGGTTTTTATTGTATCCAATCACAAATGACTAGGGGCTCCTTTGATACTTATAACTAACTACTTTTATTTTCTACATTTACTGAGTATATAATAATAAAAAGTATGGATTTTATAATTTTAGCAAGTACCATCATTTTTGCCAATAATACGAGGCACTGTATCTTTGCCAGCAGCCAGAGATCGAGAAGCATTAGAGAGAATCGATTCCAATGCATTTTACAGACTGTGTCAACTTTATCAGGCCTACATGAGCCGCTGTGCGAAAGCAGTGACTGCAGATCAAACTTTGATCAATAAACAAATTTTGGAGGTACATATAGGTCTAAAACTTATGACTATTCAACTATAACTATTATTATTAAATTAAAACTAGACAAATTATTAATTCCTAATTAATAACCGAATTTGATTTTTTGCAGCTCGACAATGAAACCACACAAGTATTAAATTTGTATGTAGCGTCTTACAAACAATATGCCAAAATCAATGAGCAATTCAAATGCATCAACGACATGAATAAGCAACTGAATTCTTGTCATCTATTGTTGAACAAGACGCTAGACTCTGTACAGCTGTTAAATAACAAACTACCTCCAGATGAACGGTTGGAACCATTTGTATGGACGACAGGTTAAACAATGACTGATCACATCATATATGTTCACCTTTACTAGTCTAACATATTTTATATACATTTAAATTTTTATTTTATTGTTATTTACTTATAATTGTTTTAGCATTTAGAAATCTTTGATCTGTGTGAATTTTTATTTGTTTAAGTATCCATGGTAAATGAAATGATAGTTTTGTATACACATCTGGATATCCTGGTCGGGCACATCCAGAGCCAAACGATGTAAGACCGGCTAAGAACCATCGACCATTGGAACCTGAACATTGCAATGGTCCTCCAGAATCTCCCTGAAACATGTGTAATGATCACATAGTTTTAATTAGTTCCTTAAACAATACAACTGATGTGTGTTTGTTCAACGTACCACACACGGCCCACCACCTTTTCCATCCATTCGGCCAGCACACAAATGACCATCGGTTATTGGCACGGCTGGTCCATATTTGTCTCTACAAACAGATGTGTTGTGCACAGGCACTTTGATCTGTCGCAGTTTACCTGACAACGGTCCATTTGGTTTGACTTTACCCCATCCAGTTGTGACACACACCTTTGGAATTGGTGTGTTATTTGTAGATGGTGGTAAACACAAGCACCGTACATTTGTGTTAGTGATATTTGTCGGCCTAGACAGTTTCATTAATGCTGCGAAATTTAATTGTTAGTACCGGTAAAATTAAACTGTTGTTTTTTAAATTTTTTTCATAATTAACCTATATCATTTTGGTAATTGTTAAACTTGTCATGAATGACTATTTCATCAATGGGTATACGCTCCTCTGTGTGCTCTTCTACATCTCTATTCCAGTCGCCTAGCACAGCAGTCCAAAGAGCTGCCAACGGCAAGCTGAACTTTTCACTTGCGATCAAAATTAAATTTTCAAAGTTAATACTTAACACACAATTATCAATACCTTTTATAAATAATGGCTTACTTTCTGATGCAGTGAGCAGCTGTCAACACCCAAGTAGGTCTGATAAGCACGCCGGCACACCAATGGCCAACAAAACCAAATGCTGGGTGAAGTAATTGTAATGATACCTAAAAAAATTAATGAAAATATGTTTAATAAAGTAATATGATCTAAACCACACCCACCTTCAGAGCTAAAATATTACAACTTTACAATTCATTCATTTATCATAATTAATTTCAACATTAAAATTATATGTATATTTGTTATAAACGATTATTTAAATTAATGATTAAAATTGAAATGAACTCTTAAAAAGTTATTTTCAATATTACATTTTACTAATTAATGTAATTTATTAATGATTGTTTTAGTTTTTATCATAATTTATAATGTTATTTAAATTTAATCATTGAGATTGTATATTATATTAACAGTCACATCAAGTTTGCTTGTGTCTTAACATCAAAAACAAGAATAAAATAAATTGTAAAGCCACATTTGCTGCTATGTCGTATATCATATTGTGCTAAGGTGTGGTAACTATAGTTACAACTGATAACCATACTGCCATATTGGTTTAAAATTTGGCCTGTAATAAATTCTTGCTATGCTAGGTTGCAATTTGGATATTACATAATACCAAAAAAGTAATGTCGAATAACAATACTATTTGATCGACAGGAAAACACACGACATAGCTGTGAATGTGCCTTAAGTATTTCATAAATCTACTATTTCAATGTATTCATCATTAAACAATGTTTTTTAATAGTAATTACTACAACATAGCTGTGAATGTGCCTTAAGTATTTCATAAATCTACTATTTCAATGTAGTCATCATTAAACAATGTTTTTTAATTTTAATTTTATAATTTTATATTAAAATTAAACATGATATCAACCATTAGTTATGCATTATGATTTATGAGTCCTATTAATAGTACTGCCTGTCGTATGGTATCTAATACTTGTCATTTATCTTTACAATAAGATAAATGACAATGTTTGGTCTAATGTAATTTTATTTATATTTTTGTTTGTAAAGGTAGGTAGACATAAAGTTAGAAATAAATAATCTACTCTACAAAAAGTGATTAATGGAATTGTCTCATTTTTATGGATGTATCATTTAAAAATTTAGCTATTGAAATAATTAGAATAAATGCAAGATTTCTGTTGAAGTTTTTTTTCTGGTTCTTACCTACTTGTTTGTTATCACCCCTCCATCAAACAATATAAAATGTATGCCTCACCACAAAGCGACCTTATGTCATCGTCTTTATTATATAATTTCGATATTCATGATCAATGTTGGTCTATATCTTGATGTTTTGCATTTAGGTTAGTCTAATATCTAATCTATTTATTATGAAATGGTAAATACTTCTTAAGATATTTATATTTAATTATCTTATTATAATAGAGTATGATAAGTATGTTGTCAGCTTGTTGGTACCTATATTGTATATTTGTGTGTGTAATCTAAAGTACCTATCTTACAATTTACAAACGTTATAAGCTTGTTTTCAAATATTGTTCAAAATTAATTTTAAAGAATTATTTCCCCCAATATTTATAATACTGACATTATATTTTTGCTACAAAAATATTGTTAAAACAAATCAAATGTGGTGGACATTGAAGCGTATATCCAGTTCAAGACAGCAACAGCTCAAAAATATATTGGTTTGTTGGATATAATAGGTTTTCTATATTTTTTCTCTATGTAATGTACCTAATGTAAATTATAATATTGAGAATGCTCTATCGTGGTCAATAATTTAACTATATTTTATTGCGTTCTTGAACTGAAATCGTCATAAGATGGTGTACATAACTCGGATTTGTTAAATTTCGAGTTGTTGCAGTCTTGAACTGGATAAACGAAAGGATCTTTAGAAAATTGTCTAATAGAATAAAAAAGCTTCTTTGGGGGTGGAGGGAGCAAATGTCCCTGTCCCCCCCCCCCAAAAAAAAAAACGCTGGTAGCCCATAGACCAAAAACTACTATATCTACGGCATTCACCCTCGCAGGTATATTGGTGGAAACGGTATTCAAACATTTTTTTTTAAATTGACGGAAACGATCGTTCTAAATGTTGGGGAATCCGTTAGGTTAGATAAACGCCCGTGCCCACTATAATGATAACACCGGAATAATGGTCCGGTCCGATGATATAGGTAATATTTTATACGACCTGTTGATGTGGCGATAACAAACAACAAGAAGTATAAGTACTGTTTTGTTTTATTTTTCTACGTTTGTTAAACGTTTTTGTAAAAATAAATGCTTGAAAGTTTTTAATCCTATGGTAGGTAAGTAGTAAAAATCTTGGAATCCTGTTGACAGGGCTTCCTAGCTTAAGGTTTTTTTGTTAATAAGATAACTCTATATTATAATACCTATCTACCTATATATTTACTGTTTGTCAAAGGTACTCACTTGCCACGGCCAAGCGCCTTTCTGGGTCTCCTTACCGTTGACCAGCCTGGACTTGGAACCTCCACCGCCCGACCTGGGCTGCCGATAACTGATTGCACCGCTATTCATACCGCACTCTTAATACAAGAACAATAATTGATATCGTGAATAATAATATACCTAATGTAGGTATGAAATATTAAATTTGATATAATTTTCTTAATTTTTTTTTATACATCATTGCGTAACCCACAATACAACCAGCTACAGTTTTGTTATTAGGCATCTCAGAATAAATAAAACGATAAAATATACTAATTAATACTAAAACTATTATATCTACTTATAACTAAAACTATTATGTTGATACCTAAATGGTTAACTTAAGTCATAAGTGCCACACTGCCATCTGCAAAGTTATGTTTATGTGGGTGCCGACCGCAAGTTTTTAACTATCATTATGCATAAGGCAGCTTATATTATTTATTTATTGACACATGGCGTATGGAAAAAAATCCCAATAATCTCGTAATTCTGAAATAATCATCAATGGTGCTAACTGAGGTCTTGAAGACTTGTTCACTACCATAGACATATTAATAACTATTATTAGGTATTATTATTAATAATTTATTTATATGTATATGGTCCCCACTCCCCACACACTGCAGGCTGCAGCAGTAGGTAGCGAAGGCGGTGGAGGTAGCGGTTACGGCAAAATTAAGCCGGACACAATTTTACCACCACCGCTGCAATGTATGGTGACCTAACACAGGATAACTTGGAAGTCACTTGAAAGTTTAAAAATATTTTTAGTAAGAAGGTTTTTAATTTTTTCGAAAAATCATTGCAATTGCCTATATTAAACCCCTTAAAAAACGATTGTTCGGAGTTAGGTATATCAACTATTAATGTTTTGTATTTTATTGGTGCGTATCTCCTTGAATACTTAAAAAAATATAATGATTTACTCTCTGTTGAGAATTTTCCGGGTGCTAGTTAAATTTTGCATGGAAAGTAGTAACCAACTGTTGGTGCCGCCATACTAGGGCTCTTTAAGAACAGGTAAATACAGACGCCATTTTCTTTCCAATTGGAATTAATACAAATATAAATATATAATATAAATTATACTAATAAATTTTATCAAATCAAGTACGTCTGTAAAAAATCGTTAGTAATCGTTCAAATATATATTTTCCTACCATTATTCATTAATTACCAAAATTTAATTTCATAAAACAAATTTAATAAATACATGACAAGCTATTATCATTTATCAGCTATGGAAAGAAAATGGCCGCTGTCTTTACCCGTGTCTATTAGAGCCTCAGCCGTACCGGTAAGGACTTTTTTCTTAGCAATATAAATTATAAATATATACCTAAGTCCCACGGGCTTAGCATGTTTTACCATAAAAAAACGTAGCCTAGCCAAACATTAAGTTCTAGTTGCACCTATAAATCGGAATGAAAACAATTTCAAAACTAATAGAAGTAGACAAGTAGCACCGGGAATTATAATTTATAAAAACATACATAGGTTATCACGTTTTATCACATTATATTATAATGAATTTCTCGTGATTCTATTAATTATTTTTATTATTATTGTTTACTATAAAATATATTATATCTGTGTTGAACGGGTAGGTTCCTAT